ATATATATATATATATATATATATATATATATATATATATATATATACACATACACACTCAATTGAAAACAAAACTTCTTTTAAAAGAGACTAGCAGTCTCTGTGAGTGGCCCAGTGGGGGAGACAGTCACTGCACTATGGGCAGCAACAGAGACACGAAAGGTAGGCAGCAGAGCTATACTACAGCAGGAGTTTATGCCTGTGGCCAGAGCCCTACAAGGACTCTGAAGGGCCTCAGATTAAAGGCACCCTATAAAATACTGGCTCATTCACAAGGCAGGGCATGGGAGGGGGGGAGGGGGGTCTTGTTCAGGGATCTAAAATGAGGGACCTGTCTCTACAGAGGCTCTGAAAGCCATTACAGAAGTGACCACTGAGCTCCAGCACAGCCTTACCCGACTGGAAAACATACAGAAGCTGACAGAGCTGCAGCGGGATCTGGTCGGTATAGAAAACCTCATTGCTCCAGGAAGGGTAAGTGGCTATACTTGGGAAGGATTTTATGCCTCTTGTCTATATTTGAATTTTATTAATGTTATCTAAAACTCACCATTCGAAAGTTCGTAACCCAGTGGTTTTTAGTGTACCACAAAGTTATGTAGTCATAATCACTAATTGAGAACATTTTCATCATCCCGAAAAGAAACACCAAGACCCAATAGTTGTCTGTATCCATTCTGGTAATATACCTTATGGAAGAGCCACCCTAAAAGAAGACTGAAGTGCAATCACAATATCGGGAATGGTGGTTCATATCTGTAATCACAGCACTCAAGCTAGTTTATGCTGCATCACGGAATTCCATCTTAGAAATCTGGAATGGAAAGCAACAAAATAATGCTTTAATGTTTTTCCCCTTCTCTAAGTTGTCTTTTTACCCTCAAGACTTACATTGTTTATAATGTGAAAACGTTTAATTTTAATTACATTCAAGTTATCTTTAGTTGTTTGTATCTTAGGTCTCCTATACCAGAAAGTATTTCCTAACCTGTGATTATGCGCCTATTTGTTTTTCTTCTAATAGCTTTTCATTCCATCCCCCAAGGTCTTACGTAACCCAGCTGACCTCAGATTCACTGTGTATTTAAGGGTGACCTTGAACTTGTAGTCTTTCTGTCCTTCGTCCACCTTCCAAGTGAGGGATTACAGATGTGCACCACAACTCTGGGTTTCCGTAGTGCCAGGGATAAAACAGGAGACTTTGTGCATGCTGGCAAGCACCAACTGAGCTACATAACCAGCCTTGTCCCAGTTGGTTCAGTTTTTTTCCCATGTACATGGATATCAGGCTGTCCTGGCACATTTGTAGAATTGTCTTGTCCTCCTTATAAAAAATTAAAAGCCCCATAGATATGTGGGCTTCTTTCTGGACTTCAAGTTCTGTTCCCAGGGTCGGTGTGTCCTTTGGCTGTGCACTGTCACCAGGTCGTTTTGCTCTTGACTCAGTACTGTTGACATAAGAACCGGAGTGAGAAAGCTTAGTAACTGGCCCAACTAAGTGCTTACTACTACAGAAGTTCACATACAGGGTAGTAGACCTTCCTGTCTCTTAGGGAAAAGATTCTACTAGGGGCTGCTTCTTCATCTTATGTCAATAAGCATGTGAAGTCTTCCTTTTGGTGCCTTACTTTGTATATGGAGGGCTGTACCCACTCAGGCTTTAGTCATTTTGCCTTTCCTTTGACTTTTTTGATTTATTTTGAGACAAGGTCTCAATACGTAGCTTTGGCTGGCCCGGAACTCACTATGTAGACCAAGCTGGCCATGAAATCATAGAAATCCATTGGCCTCTGCCTCCTGAGTGCAGGTATTAAAGGCATGTACCACCATACCTGGCTCCTTGACTTTCTACACCTTTGTGGCACTAGGTCCCGTTTCTTTATTCAATAGTCCAGTGCAAGATAACTAACTATAACTATCCAATAATGTTTGTGGAGACTCTTTCCCCTTCTCATACCTACTTCTGCCCAGCCTTTCCCATGGCAGAACTCAGATGGAATCTTCATGACCTGGTCTTACAAATGTCTCTCCACTAGAGTACACCTCTTGGTATCCTTGTCTTGGGGCAGGTAGATGACTGGGGACAGAGTTGGTACCGGGAAAGATCTTGAGTAACTAGGGGTACTATCAAAGAGTAGGATGACTCTCCCAAAGAGCTGTCACTCAGCAAGGCTTAAAGAAGTCAAAGGGGCTGGCAAGATGGCTCAGCAGGAAGAGGTGTGCTTGTGTATAGAACTGGCACCCTGGTGTGATCCTCAGATCCCACAAAATGTCAGGAGAGAACCAGTCCTGATAGATGTCCTTTGACCTCTGCACGTTCATTATGGCATGTGCACACAAGCAACCAAGCTAGAGGTTGCTGTTGGCCACCATGACCTTTGGCCCAACTAGAAAATGTCTGTCACAGTCTTGCTCACTGGAGCCGATTGTCTTTCAGGAGTTCATCCGTGAGGGCTGCCTTCACAAGCTCACCAAGAAAGGCCTGCAACAGAGGATGTTTTTTCTGGTATGTTTCCAACTATACCCCAAACTGCATCTCCAGTCTGGGAGGAATAAGTGGGTGTATTTCTGTCAGGAAAGTTGGCCCTCCACCTACTAGCTCAACCCCAAAAGACTTCATCCCAGGTGGCAGCTCATAGTCACATGGGAACTCAGGAGAGCTCTTGAAAGTAATCAGCTGCTTTGCCTACCATGGCCCATTTATTTGTGGGGCCAAGGAGCCATGGGACAGGGGAGCTGGCTAAAACAAGTGTGAGGTCAAAGCTTGGCCAAACCCAGAAAGTCTATCTTGAAATAGGACCTTCCCTGCCCTGGCCCTGCATGTCCCAGCACATATATCCTTATGGCCCCCACCTTTGCTACCCTTGATGTGGTCACATAGTCTAGCAGCCAGGTTACAGGTTAAACCTCCTTTCTCCTTATAAGGGCATGTTAAGCAAGCACCTGGAATTCCTCTTCATGCAAATGAGGCATTCCTAGCATGTTGGCTCCAGCCAATGATGGAAGCCCCTGCCCATTCCCCTTTGTACTCCTCAATTAAGAGATGTCTCACTGAAGCTGTCTCCAGAAAAGGCTTTCTTGTGCACTCACCACCGGTCAAGATCCTGCATTGCACCCGCTCACCCTGGTTAAACTTCCCTCCCTCCAGTCCAGCTCAGTGCACAAGGAGCCTGGATACTGCAAGGGAGAAGCAGAGATGTGGCAGCATTGTCCTAGCCCACATTCTGGGATAAGAAGAGCCAACACAGACATTTTCATGTGGCTTAGAAATGTGCTGATGGTGCCGTGGCAGCTGGGGGTCTTACTGCTGGCCTAGGAGCATGGGAACAAGGGGCCTGACCTGGTGAGCCTTGTATTACCAGGGTTCCTTTCCAAGTGCTTCAGACTTGATCTATGCAGGTGGGGAGCTAACTGTCACCAGCCAGAGCTCCTGGCTGCTTCTACTAGCTAGGCCAGATCAGAGGGACTGGTGGCTGGTCCTCCAGTTCTGCTGGCTCATGTGGCTACTACATACATCTGGTCAAAAAGGATCAAAAGAGTGATTTTTTTTTCCTAACAATTTCCAGTAACTTGCATTGATCTGGTAAACACATAATGGCCATCTATAGTTCATCAGAGTCTAACTATACTTATATTGAAACTTTTTCCTTGTTTGTATAATTCATTTATCTAAAAGACTTTCCCTCCCTCAGTTCTCAGATATGTTGCTGTATACAAGCAAAAGTGTCACGGGGGCCAGTCATTTCCGGATTCGTGGCTTCCTTCCACTCCGTGGCATGCTGGTGAGAGGCATCAGGCTTACCTGAGGTTTGGTACTGGGCTGGGCTTCTGCCACACCTCCATCATACAATGGCAGGTCAAATGGTTTCCTCAGTAATGATCAGGCCACATATTAAGAGAATCTGTTGGATTTTTTTTTTTTATTTGTCTCAACTCCTCATGGCTGTTGTTCTTTCTGACCCCCAGACTGCACAATATTCAACCAATGGGCAGCTTTCTGGGTCAGCCTAGACCCTTTAGACTCTAGCCATGGTACCTCCTTCAGCACCTGACAATATGTGCCTACTTTCCCCACAACTTGGAGTGGGTTTTGGTAGTTGGCTACTTTCCTGTGCTATATTCTTTAAGATTCTCATCTAGCAACAACTGTCCCATGGACAGACACAAGGCCTATGCTTGATTTAAAGTGGGCTTGAGCCATTAATGTTGCTGCTGGGATCCTTCTGAATACCCTGCATATGTGCACGCAAGGATGTCTAAAATGGGATAACCACACACTTTAATATAATCCAGTTTATCAACTTTGCTTTTGGAAGTTAATGGAAACCCTGGTTAAGGGCTGTAGAAATGGCTCAGTGGTTGGGAGTGCTCATTGCTCTTCAGTGGACACAAGTTCAGTTCCCAGCACCCATGTCAGGCAGCTCACAACTGCCTGTAACTCGGGTACCAAGGGACTCAGTGCCATAGGTGCCCATAGGCACCCTCACACAGACACACATACACACACACAAGAATAAAAAAAATATATTGGAAAAAAAATGGCCTGAAGAGGACTCAGTACTTGATTCCCAGCACACACGTGGCAGCTAACAACCATCTTTAACTCTAATTCCAGGAGATCCAATGTCATCTTTTCTCTACAGGCACTGTATGCATGTGATACACAGATACACATGCAGGCAAAACACCCATGTACATAAAATAAAAATAAATAAATCTGAAAACAAAACCCTGTTTAAAGTCACAAAAAGTCAGGAAGACCTAGAGGCTATCTTTCCTTCATGTAGACCTCAGAACCCGGCCTGAAACTTGTCCTGGAAACATTGAAGGCAAGGGCAATGCAGTGTATGATCCCATGGTCCAGGATGCCTCAGTGCAGAGGTCATCTCTCCTTTTATACTGCCCCTTGTGGTGTCAACTACTGCTGCAGCAGCACACTGAGATCTTTTCTTACTGACTCCATTGGCCTCTGTTCAGCCTCAAAACAGATGTTTGTAATACGTGACTACACTTTGCTAAACTTAGCAGGGACCACCTCTGGAAGCCAACTCCATTCTTTGATGGTTTACTTTAAAAATACACATTCCTTTAGGAAAACCCTGAAAATAAACGATAATTATCACTGTGTACAGCACTCCAAGTTTAGCTCTGGTGACTTCTTTGCCAGTTACCACCTTTCACAAGCTGCTTTGTGACCAGTGCTGTTTTTCTCAGTAATTCATCCTGAACACTCTGATACAGTCTCTGACTTCTCTGGTGCAATAGAGAAGACAATAAGCTCCAGTGTGCCTGACCTAACATTCCGTTAGGCCAAGTGTGGTCTTTCAAGAGGGTATACCACATTCAGCTTCTGTCTTTCAAAGTCCATCTTCAAGTCCTCACCCTGGTCCCACTATGCAAAGCATGTGCTGCTTCCAGTATCTTGCTCATCACTGTCCAGCAGGAGCACCAGTCTGCTGCTCACAATGAGTTATAAATGTGCATATCTATGGGGGTATACACAAATGTGGAAGTCCAGGGGTCAGTATCAGGTCTCTTTTGAGTATTTTCACCAGTGGCTAGCCAGTGGGCTCCAGGGATCTGCCAGTCTCTGTCTCTCCAGTGCTAGAATTAGAGATGTTCATTGTCACACCCAGCTTTACATGGGTGCTGTGCTGGAGATCTGAACTCATTTTACTGAACTGATCCATCTGCTTAGCCCCAGTTCACAAATGCCTTTATCAGGTAGTAATTACCTTTTTTTTTTAACTTTCTCCATAATTTAGTGGAACTTAAAACTCCATCCTGCAGAGGTGTCTCACTTTGGAATGGCCTCATACATATGGAGGGTGCCATTAACCATTTGTTGAAGGAATGATTTAGACATGCTGTGGTTGGCTTTTCCCACCTTTTCTTTGAGGGCTTTATTTAGCCCTGTTAGGAGAGACATGAGATTGTATTAGCTTTTAGTTTTGGTGTTTTGACAGGATCTTTCTGTGCAGTCCCAGTTGTCCTGGAACTGTGTAGACCAAGCTGGCCTCAAACTCACAGACGATACCTGCCTCTGCTGGCTTTAAAGGCATATGGCATCACAAGATTTATCTGTGTGTTTTTATGTGTTGGTATGTGCATATATGTACTAGTGTCCTTGGATGCCAGAGAGGGTATTGGATACCCTGGAGCTGGAGTTACAATTGTGAGCTGTCCAAAATGAATGCTAGAAACAAAACTTTGGCACTCTTAAGGAACAGAAAGCACTCTAAACCTGCTGAGCCATCTCTTCAGCTCCCTATGGTTTCATTTTTCAAAATTTACAAGATGTAATTAAGAATATTGCGTTTTCCCCCATGTAGTCACCTTTCCCATCATTTGTTGAATCGTCCATGTTATGTGACAACCTTCACCTTCTACTTTCCTTAGAGCAGTATCTTCCACTCTACTACAGTGTCAACCACACTGGAGATAGTTACTATACCGGGAATCATATCCTACCCCATCTTTATCCCTCCTTTTAAAGTTTTCTTTTGGGCTGGAGAGATGGCTCAGTGATTAAGAGCACTGGCTGCTCTCCTAAAGGTCCTGAGTTCAATTCCCAGCAACTACATGGTGGCTCATAACCATCTATAATGAGGTCTCCCTCTTCTGGCATGTAGATGTACATGCAGGCAGAACGCTACATAAAATAAATCTTTAAAGTTCTCTTTGCAGGGCCAACAAGATAGCTATGCAGATAAAGTACTTGAGGTATAAGCTTCAAGTTGGGTCTCCTGGCCCATGTAAAAGCTGAAGGCAATAACTTCCACACATCATATACATGATGATGATTCACTTTGCAAAAATGCATTTACGTATTCCAAGTAAACTCTGGAGTCTTTTAGATAAATCCCATTCCAAAGCATCACTGGCATTTCAACTGAAATAACAAGAATTTTTTTAATCACAAGAAATTTAAATATTAACTTGGGGGAAGACTAACAGACCACATTCTGACAAATGGCTGGCAGGATGTCAGATCTTTTCTGTCAAGAACTCCATGACTTTTGTCCTGTGGGCTCTGTGTAGGGAACTGTCCATTCTTTGGGTCATCTATAACTGGCAGCCCTGGGGCTACAGAGTGTGCTTCCTTATCTATTCAGAGAAAATAGTGGTTCTTGGCTTGAGAGAAGCTTGAACACGTTAAAGCAGTTTCCTTCTGTTGCAGAGAGGTACTGTCAGAAATATTAGAAATGTTGGCTTTCAGCAGTTGTTCTCAGTATGAAATGATTACTTTTGCTGACTTCAGATAGGATAATTCTGTTACTAAGCTTTCTAGTATCAACCCATTCTTGCATCTTTAAATCTTTAAATCTACCTTGCTTGGTGCTAGGACACTTCTTGTATATGGTTTTTAGGTTTGATTTGGTAATATTCTATCTTGGAATCATTCCATTATCAGTATGATTTGGCTGAAATCAGAATGCAGTGGCTTTCGTTTGCATCTGATTAAGATTTTGGTGCCAGGGTGATAGATGAATTTTCCAACTCCTAGTACTGAAATGCTCAACATCTTCTTTGCTTGATTTTCAGCTAATAGTGTTGGACCCACCGGTGAGTATTTCAGTGTCTCTAGAGCAGACCTCAGTTACTTGGTGGCAGCTGCCATAATGTAGGGATACAAGTGTGCCTCCTTTATTACCCTTGTAGTTATGTAGACTTGGATTGTACAAGCCAGCTACACCTAGCACTGTTGGCAGTCATTTTGTGTATGGCTTAGATTTGGGCTCAATCAGCATTCTCCCAGCGCATAGACATCACTGCTTGTCTCATCTACAGGTAGAAGAAAGTGAGAATGAATGGTCTGTTCCTCATTGTTTCACCATCTATGCAGCTCAGAAAACAATTGTGGTGGCAGCCAGGTAAGGGCTGTGATTCAGTTGGAGCAGGGCTTGCCACAGGGTTAAGTAAGAACTTCACTACCAAGTTCTGGAGCCTCATGGGACTCAACTTATACAGGCAAATGGGTACCACCTTAGGCAGGGAAGGATTGTTGACTGTTTTTTCAAGAGAACAACCAGGGTGCTTCTGAGAAGGTGCCTGCACTCTAGAGTTCGTGGCAGTTGGCCTCTTAAGGGCACGAGCACTCCAGCCCTCAAGCAAGGGCATGTATTTATGATCACAGTGAAAGCCAAGTTGGGGACCACAACCCAAGAGCAAGTTGATGCTTTCTCCTTTCCAGATCAGTGAGTTGTTCAGGTGTAGTCCCTGCTCAGTGAAATCTGTCTGGTCTGGTTCTCCTCCACCAGGAAATGCCACCTTAATCATGAAACAAATCCAGCCTTGTATTTCAGCATTGAGATTTTTTGGCAATAAACGCATCAGTTCCAACACTGAGGACTGTCTGGTTCCCCAGCTCACCCCAGTAACAGGCTGTAGAAGGCATGTTTCTGACAGTCCTTGGGACCCAGCAGATAGAGCAGGTGCCCAAACCAGACCTGTCACAAAGGACAGAACTCTAGCCCAGGAAGAGCTTCCCCAAGGAGATAGCTAGCTAACTTGACTTTCTCCTTTACAGCACTCGGCTAGAAAAGGAAAAGTGGATGCAGGACCTGAATGCCGCAATCCAGGCAGCCAAGAGTATTGGTGACACATCTCCAGTGCTGCTGGGAGGCCCCCTGTATACTCGTACCCCCAGTGAGTTTTGACTCAAGACACCCCAGATTCTCTTGATAGCTCTGAAAGCTTTTCTAAAAATTGCTTTCCTGACCTTGTTCATCATGCCAAGCCCCATGAGCTTCCCTCCCACACAAGAAAATTGGTGGCCATGCCTGGGTATAAGAGTTCTTGGTATCCCTAGCACCATGATTTTGTCTGGTTGCTACCTTGGGTACCAAGGGCCTATTTCCCAAATCCTGGGGGAGACTCATGGGTGGGTGATGCCAGATGCTACTCACTCTCCGCAGGATCTTCCGATGAGGTCTCTCTGGAGGAATCTGAAGATGTTCGAGGAACCCGGGGATCCCTGGAGGGGAACAGCCAGCACCGGGCCAATACCACAATGCATGTGTGCTGGTACCGGAACACAAGTGTGTCCAGAGCAGACCACAGTGCAGCCGTTGAGGTATGGCTGTCATGAGCATCCATGTAAGCTCTCTCCCCACCATATATCCAAAAGTTTCACCCACTGGTGTGCTGGCTAATGTGGAGGGGCCACTCAGACAGCCCTCCCCTCCACTGGCAGAAATCAGTTTAGGTCTGACTTATCTATTTAAGCTTTCTTTGAAAAGGGACTTCACACCAAATGTATCTGGTGTCTTGTAAAGATAGTCAAGAGGCATCATCTGTGCTGGGATTTGCTAAAAGGCCTACTTACTGCCACAGGACAGTACTCTCCCAGGTCCGTTTGTACTTCCCATTCTAGGCTCATGCTTACCCCACATACAGAGTGATTATTAGTTGCACACATCTGGCTTGACAGAACCTCAAGTTATTCAGCCTAGCACCTCTACATACCCATTCCTGGGCTCGTCCCTTCCATCCCTAACTCCAAATTCTCCTCTGCTTCATCGCCACTCTACTGGGCCAGCAAGTCCCTAGTGAGGCCTGAGACACCTACAGATCAAAATAGATAGGGAACTCCTAGGAAATACATATTAAAAACACTCCTAGGCAGCACATATTAGATACAGGTCCTACAGAGAGGAGAGATCAGCGGGTTGTCCAGTACTATACTTAAATACATTCCTCCGTAATTTCAGAGAGCCTTCCAGGACTTGGTTCAATGTGTTATCACCACCCTCTGCTTGCTCTCCTGTAGGTTTGTAAATGGTGTCTTTTGTCAGAATATTAACTTTACTATATATTAGGAAAAGTATACTACTTAAGTGTTTGGTACATCAGTTCCCAGACTAACATCCAGTTGTTGGGTTTTAAGTCTACACAACCATGTTGATTTAAAAAAAAAATTTTTTTTTTAAGCATCAGCCAGGTGCTGGCACACACCTATAATCCCAGCACTTGGGAGGCAGAGGCTGGTAGATCTCTGAGTTCGAGGCCAGCCTGGTACACAGAGTGAGTTCCAGGCCAGCCAGGGCTACACAGAAAAGCTCTGCTTGGGGAAGGAGAAAAAATGAGTATGGCAGAGACCTATGTGCAGATAGTCTAGCTAGGTGGCAGGGTCATGGAACTGGTTGTAGCTGCTGAGCAAGTACCAGGACTATGGTGAAGGCAAAGTGCTTTTACCCTTTTCTACCAACAGAACCAGCTTTCAGGATATCTGCTGAGAAAGTTCAAGAACAGCAATGGCTGGCAGAAGCTCTGGGTGGTCTTTACCAACTTCTGCTTGTTTTTCTATAAAACTCACCAGGTATGTTGAGTCAAACTGGAGTCTAGGCACAGAGTACAAAATACATTATCAGCTTATCTACTTCCTCTTCACAGTTTGATGCTGATTCCACTGTAACATCATTTTCTGTATAAAAATGGAATTAGTACAGTGTCTCTCTGTACAAACTACCATTTTCTTGGGAGAGCCAGTGGTATCAAGTGAAGGGCTGGGGAAAGACACAGAATAATGGGCCCCTCTCTAGTGCAGGCCTACACCGCAGCCCCCAGTGACGATGTTCCTTGTGCTGACTTCCAGGATGACTACCCCCTGGCCAGCCTTCCCCTATTGGGTTACAGTGTGAGCCTCCCCAGGGAGACAGACAGCATCCAGAAAGACTACGTTTTCAAGCTCCAATTCAAATCTCACGTTTACTTCTTCCGGGCTGAGAGCAAGTACACATTTGAAAGGTGATTCTGCCATGTTTCTTTTGTTTATTGCCATTCACAGAGGAAGAGGCAAATTTCCCAGATCCTAAAAACCAGTGGTCAAGGAATGCATGCATGGCTGTTTTCACTGTATGTTCATGTTTGTATGGGAGCACCAGTGTACATATATACACATGTACACATACACACAGTGACCAAAGGACTTCAGGAGCTATCTATCCGCCTCCCCCCCTTTTTATTACTACAGATTTTTTATTGTGGGGAGGGCACACATGCCACTCGTGTGTATGTGAGTGGTGGTCAGAGAACAACTTTGCAGTTGGTTTCTGCCATGTACCTTTGTGTGGGTTCTCAGGCTCGATCTTAGGCAGTGAGGCTTGCATGGCAAGTGCTGATACCTGATGGGGCATAGCACCGGCCAAATCCACCTTGTTTTACTTGGAGCTTATGGATTAGGCTGGCTGGCAGTCTGAGTGGCAAATCTATCTCCACCTCCTCAGTGCTGGAATTACAAGTGCACACCACGCCTGGTTTTTCACTCAGGTACTAGGGATGAAACTCAGATCCTCATGCTTGTATAGCAAGAGCTTTACATCATTAATCATTCTTGGCAAGGTGTGTGAGTATATGCCTGCTGATTTTACCCTTTCTACAGGTGGATGGAGGTCATCAAAAGGGCCAGCAGCTCATCGGGGAGACCCCCAAGTTTCACTCAGGACTGCTCACATCTCTCTCCAGGGCTGGAGGCAGAGGTCAGAGAAAAGGAGGAATGTCCTTCACTCTACATGGACAAGAACCTAGAACAGAGGCTTTCAGGGAGTATAGGAATCATCCCAAGGACTGAACAACTCCAGCCATCTTCCCACCAGATGACACATGGTGCTGACCCTAGAATGAGCCTCATAAGACCTCTAGGAGGACCTCTGCCCTCCCCCAAACTCCAGAAACAGTGAAGACTCATGATGGCTGGGCACATCTCTGAGATCTATAAAAATGAAATGAGGGTTTGTCATGAGCATGGCCCCAAACACAAGACAGGTCATATCCACTTCTACCTGTAGCACCAATAGCCAAATTCACGTTGCTTCAGACAAGCACTATATAATCAGGTTTATGTGATAAGCTCATGTTGCTCTAGGGGTTAGCCTCCAGATCACAGCAAAATAAGAGTATGCAAAAGCTACTCTGGTTTCTATCCCACATACCCTCCTCTAGACCAGTGAAAACCAAAGACCATCCACCCAAGCCTAGGAGGAGGGGGCCTTTCCTTATTAGCTCCCAGTACTTCTCATCAACTGAGTCCTGTTCACCCATATGACTTAAAATAAAAGGACATTTCCTCACCCACCAACATCCCTCCTCTGCCTTTGTTCTCCAGAAGGCCACCAGAAACTCTCAGGTTATATGACAACATTTAGAAGGGATGCTGGCTCACAGGCTACAGAAATCTCATCTAGCCAGGGTATCAGAATGTCTCCAATCCAGGTCTTTATTGAAATGGTAGGGCTTTCAATGCTCTATGAAAACTAACACTTACTGTCAGAATACTTAAAAAAAAAAAAAGCCCAAAATATTCTGGACGATTCGAGTACTCATAAGAACACAGTACCTGAACTGACACCACAAGGCAAATTATGACCATCTTGGACTCCTATGAGCTCTCAAGACAATGTTCCTGGTATAGGGGAAGAGCCAGAGCCGCCCAATGGTTGCTTTGCTCCTTGGTTTAGCAGCTGCAGGGGCCCAGGAGTCTAGGTCACACCAAATTGCTGCTCAGTTCTCCAACTGGCTGTTTATCATAGCTTCAGTCAACCCAGGAGGTGAACACAGGTGTCTAGTGGCTGCTGTGCAGGACAGAAGGAAGGTAACCTGGCTTGTGAAGCCTACAGGCTGGCCAGTCTTTACAGTTGCAACACAGCACAAGAGGGCTTCAAAGTCAGTATTTCAGACCTCAAAACAAAAAGCATTCTTATCCCTCTCTATGAAGAGCAGTGCATTCAGATGGTCGTTCAGCGAGTAGATGTCAGGTGATTCCTGCTGTGTGAGAACCTGTAAGTGAAAGGTACCATTACTGCTCTTGGACTTTACTGCCTGGACATGCACTTCGGCAACATCTCAGATATGTTGCCTTTCAGATATGAAAGTCACAGCATTTGTTACCAGCAGCACCTCACAAGATGGAAGATGTCTTTTGTGTTTCAAGATCAGTGCCAACTAGTCCAAACCCTGCTGCTCCTGAGAACCACCAGGGTGGGTCTCTCTCAGTGTACAAGAGCAGGATCCAAAGGATAAGGGAGGAGAAACTGGTATATCTGCCTGTAACAGCCTGGGATCCTGAGCCTGTGGGACTGCCAAGGAAGGATCAGTATTTGCCTGCCTGTCCCTTTACAGGCTTGAGTCAGCTCAGCCCCCCCTCCCCCATCAGAAACAGGCAAGCCTTTGGATTATAGAGCATCCATGCTGTTACTGGTACATAGGACCTCTAGGAAGCCACCAAGTAGGAAGGTCAGAAGTCAGCTTCACACAATGCTCTGTCACTGGGCCATTTTGTCACTGGACCTATGTCCAGACTCTGTCTGAGACTGAGTCTTGCTTCATGCATAGCTCAAAGCCACAAGAAGCCCATTTGCCTCTCCCTCTCTACTTCTCCAGAGGCAGAAAAAAAAAAAAAAAAAAAAAAGAGAAAGCATGACAGAGGAGGACTGAACCAGCTGCTCCCAAGAATGAGTCCCAGGCTTCCTTTGCGTTCAGTCCTATGGGGATATGCCTCTGGGTTGGGGCACTGTGCTCACCTCTGCACACGCTCCACCAGATGCACCATCAGCTTATCTGAGATGCCGGGACAGGATTCCTCAGCCAGGCTGAAGGCATTCTCTAGCTCCTCCAGGGCACCTACGCTCCCACCACTCTGCTTGTGCTTCTCTTTGAGCTGCAGAGAGATCATGTACCTAACTGGCATCTTACCTGAGACCGCATTCGGAAGACCTACAGAAAGCACGAAGGTAGCACTGCATAGGCAGTGCACTTGGCCCTGTTGATGGGGACACTTGTGGCCCTTCCAGTTCAAGGCTCCTCTCTCCTTTGACCTGGGTTCTCAAGAGGTCAGAGCCACATGGTTTCTTACAGACTGAAGGTCAGAAAATAATCAAGTGGATCTAGTGTAATTTAGAAATTGGCACAGTAACTGATACTCTACAAGGACTTAGACATCCCAGATCAGACTACAAAGTGTCAGTAATCATTATGGGACTTCAGTTCTGAGTGTACTCTTAAGGAGTCACCTCAGCCCTGAGCAATACTGCATGCTGCCCACAACACAGCCCTAAGTGGCTCTTCCTTCTCTAATATCACTGCCAAGTCCTATTCAACCCACTCTGTCCCAGGAAGAGACACTCTGCTACTGCTATTCATCTACATCCTGTCCTCCCTCTCTGGACTCCAGGTGCTGGCGTCACCCACTGAGTGACAACCTACTGCCTGAGCTTCAAATCTATATGAGAGCATCCATTTCTGCCTGCACTGTATCTCTGAGGATGGCTTTGATATCAGGCAACAGTGACATAAGGTCACGTGACCACCAAGGAATTACCTCCTGGCCTAGGACTGGCCCAACACCAATCCTTTATCTTTCTCCACAGAAGAATCATGTAGTGGTTGGACATTGCAAAAAACAGTAGTAATATAATGCCAGAGGACCTTAGCAGGTCTGGGAACACAAAAGGGTACTGGCCAGGTCAGTTCTTCCCAGTGGTTTATAGTGCTTCTACTCAGGAAGCTGGACCCACAAGCCTGTGCATAACCAGCTACAGTAGACCTAGAAACCAAATGGATAGGCCCAGGCTCAGGGCTCACTAGAATATCAGTCCACAGCTCTGTAGGGAGCACCTCTAAAGAACAAAGCCACCGCCCCACATGACCACAGGCTCAGCCCAACTCTCACCTCTCCAAAGACAGGCCGGACTAGCGTGGACAAGCACTGCGACCTTGGCTGTCTCTTGATAGGCTCAGCAGGCTGTAAAGGGGAAGCAAAGCACTGGGTACATGGAAATAAGAGAGGCTCCATTTCCTGTCTCCTCAATCTCTGGCTTGAGCAGGCGGACAGAGCATACAACAGGGGTCAGCTCCCAAACTGTCAGGTAGCCCAAGCCATCGATTCTCATCAGGCCTGCACCTGAGCACCAGCAGACCCAGGCTTCCGTGTGACTCCTAGATAGCTCAACGGCACTCTGCACTTAGAAGCCACCTGCTCTGCCCTGTCCTTCCCAAACTCTTTGCTGAGACCCCAGATGATGAGTACTTAATATAGCCCTAGGGCAAGGGCACTTTGGCACTGACCTCCTCAAAGCCCAGTACCCAGCCTATTGGGTATATCTGCTGCCCAGGGAAGTTGAGGCAGGGTTGGTACATATGGAGCAGTGCTCTGGCCCAGGGCATAAACACACCTTCTGTGAGCTGTGCAGAGCAGTCCCCTTGTGCAGCTTGCTATGTGGACTTGGCCGGATGGTTGGGGGAAACGTCCAGATGGGACCCTGCTCCCCATCCTCAGCCTCGCCATCACTAAAGAAGATAAAGAATCAGAAGAGCTGATGGAGACAGGGGCCAGGAGTAACTGGTACCAAGGTACATCTATTTCTCTGAGGCAATCTCTTAGTCTAGGCCCTAGAGAGTGGACAGAACTCAGCACAGGCCGCAGCATTTAGGTGACAGTCAAAAGGCCCTGTCCTTCAGTCTGGAGGTTCCCTGCACAATCAGCCCCCACACTGGCGACTAGCTCCAAGCCCTACCTCTGGAGAGGAGACACCCCCACACACACTGGCACCAAAGCACCCAGGGAGCTCTTGAGGACCAAAAAAAAAAAGGCCCTACATGTCAGAATCCTCAGAACTGGACTCCTCGCCATGCCCCTCAGACTTCCAGCGCTTGTAGCGGTCAATGAGTTCAGTGAGAAAGGAGGTCTTCTTGGTGTAGCGTGTGATGAATTTGTGCTTCAGAAGCTCCTTGGCAGTGGGTCGCTGCCAGGGAGACAGACAGTCAGAGCCGAGTTCCACCCTCAACAGACACAAGGACAGGCAGGGATGTGAAGGCTGGGCCCTGTCCCACCCCAAGTTAATACCCTCCCTTCATATGCTTCCCCAAGACCCTCAGTTGTTTAGGGTGGCCCAGGTAGGAATAGGCCTTACGAATCGTGGGTCCTTATTGAGGCAGGCCTCTACAAACTCCTTGAATGGTTTGCTGTGGTGGCCCTCCAATGTGGGTGGGTTGTTCTTAGGAATCAGGAACAGGACTCGCATAGGGTGGAGGTCAGAGTTTGGCGGCTCCCCCTTGGCCAGCTCAATAGCTGTGATGCCCAGGGACCAGATATCAGCCTAGACAGGGTATCATAGAAGACAGCTGCTACATGCAACATTTTGAAATGGTGGCAATATGTTCCCACCTCCTATCTAGAACTCACCTTGAAGTCATAAGCCGACTGCTTGATAACCTCAGGTGCCATCCAGAAGGGAGTGCCCACAAATGTGTTCCTCTTGATTTGTGTATCTGTGAGCTGCCCGGCCACACCAAAGTCTGCCAGCTTCACATCACCCTGCTCTGAGAGCAGCACGTTGGCAGCTGCTCAATACAGGACAGGTAGGCATCATCCTTGGCTCCACAGACTCCCAGAAGTTACCCTACATGCAACTCCCTGATCAGTGAAGGGATGGTATCCCCCTAGCCCTTGGGGACAGCAGCAGAGATATCTTGGGACCTCAGTTTTCTTTGTCAGTGGCCACTGCTGGCAGAAGCAGGCAAGCTGGGGGACCTATAGGAGCATTCCTACCTTTGCTCCAGGGCCTGCCATGTTTGCGTTTTCTGACAAGCCCCAACAACAGTGACATCCACATCACAGCTAATCACAGTAATCCTAACTGAAAGGTACAGCTGACATGGCTAATCAGGAAGTCCATCACTGCCTACAGCACCCCTCACTGTGACATAGTTTAGATGTCCTCACTAAGTCACTCATGGTAGGCTGGTCCTGCTGTGAGTCCTTATCAGGACTGGGCCACACAGGAGGGTTGCATAAATCCACACCTGAAGCCAAGTCAAGGCTCCTGCCATGTACTAGTACACAACTGGTGTCCTTCACAGAGGTGAAGACCAAGATTAGGTGAAGTGAGATTAGGAAAGTTTAGCTAGGCTGGGTAAGTAGCTCAGAAACAGAATACTTCTTTAGCATGCACAATCCCCTAGGTTCTATCCACAGTGTGGCCATTAAAAAAGTGGTTAAAAAGCAAGATGGAGACCCGTCCCCTAGTTTCCAGGTGGCAGAAGGGTTCCCCACATCCCACACCATAAGGCACCATAATCTAC